TGCTTACATCTTTGTGTCTGAGATGTCCATATTACTGAAACTAATCAAAACTAAACTGAAACTAAGGATTTTCAAAAAAATAAAAACTAAACTAGTAAACAATTGGTAAAAACTAATTAAAACGATATAAAATTGAAAATCTGAAGTCAAAACTAAATAAAAATTAAAACTAATGAAAATTGCAAAACTATTAAAACCCTGGCCATTACAAACAAGATTTTACAAGCTCAGTTTACACATTTTCTCTCTGTACCCCTATTACAAAGGAAAATTCTATAACACAAACAACCTTGAAAACTGAGCCTTATGAAGTGAGGAGTAACATCAAATAGCTTTCATTTATTGTTTTCACACATACCTTGCTTATGTGCAGCCATTGCTGGGCCTCTGACGTCATCGTATGATTGACCATCTGTCACCACTATGAGAAAATTGCGACCCGGTCCTGTTCGTCTGCCATAAACAACAAATACAGTGTAACTTCTAATACAGTTAGTATTAAACGCTGCTAGACCTCACTAGCAGGACAAGCACGGAGATGAGTCCATAACAAGATAATTTGTAACCTTCACTAAAGCTGTTTCTGTGCTGTGATGAACCTGACTGAAACTCTTCAAATTAAGCCATTCTTCTGTAGATGACCTGTTAACTGTTTGACAACTACTCTTTCAAGGATTTGTGAGATAAGGGGAAGGCTGGAGATTGGCCTATAAGCTAAGCTGGGTCAAGAGATGGCTTTATAAGTAGCTGTTTAACTACTGCCAGCTTGAAGAGCTATGGTAGCCAATTATTGAGACAGGTTGATCATATTTAAGATTGACACATTTTTTAATGGTAGGAGTTCTTTGAGCAGTCTTGTAGGAATCTAAAAGATGATGGTTCGGATGACGTAATTACTAAAGTTAACTCTGAAAGATCAATTGGAGAAAAAGACTAAATAAATATCAGTGGTACTGAAAGTAGCTGTATATAATGTTACATCTGCGAGATGATGAGGAGTAAATTTTTCTCTAATGGCTAAAATTGTACTTGTGAAGTTCATGAAGTCATTACTAGTTAACGTTAAAGGGATGGTTGGCT